CGCCCGGCACAGCCGGCAGCCAGCCGCCCGGGAGGCATAGTATTATATTTTAACCCGCTAACGTGTCAGTGCAGACTCCACTCCCGTTTGTACGTGGTGTTATTATGGAAATGTATTGTTTGAGCTCCGAAGGCCCGGCCACCCCGTCGGGCTGATATATCTATATTTATTTGTAGGTATTTATATATTGAAATATAAAAGCCTAGATTTATGGAGTTCCTCTAGATCATGGTATATTCTCTCTCACACAGACCCGCTTCTGTTGGCCCTCTGCCCGCGCGGTCAGTATTTCGGTTGCGTTCATGTCCGCCCCTCCCAGGAACTGCAATATCGGTGACCTTGGTATATATTTTTTGATACCGTACACATGGGTGTGTTGTTTCTATGTGCAAAAGGAAAAAAAGAAAAAGTTTGTTAAAAGGCTACGCGAGCGCTCTAGACTAAACTGCTGCTGCTAGAACTGTCTGAACTCTAAGCTTCCGATCTTACCTGCTTGAATGTACATATTAAATGGAGATGTTGAAGGTGCCTTTTCGCTGTCGGAGAATTAGCGCGCGAAGCCAAGTGGCCTGGTTTCCAGGGCAGCGGCGCCAGCAGCCCGAGGAGTGACCGAGCGCCCGGAAGGGGAGTCTGCGGAGAGGCGCTGCAGAGGAGAGGGGAGTTCCTGCGGCGGGTGCTCCCCAGGCTCGGGAGCTGCGTGGTGGGGTGAGCAGCCCGCAGTCCTACCAGCCAGGCACCTGCTGATCTTTGCCCCCCACCCCCCTGGGGCGGGGCGGTGCTCCTCCCTAGTCATCCTCGCCTCGTCGGGCAGGTTCCGCCCTCTCCTGCGTCCCTCGCTGGCATCGCGGGCCCCGCCCCACCCAGAAAGCCGGCGAGGCTCTTTCTCTGCCAGGCTCGCTGCTCCGGAAGCGCCAGGCCAGCCCGAGGCTCTGATGAGGCACAGGCGCTCCCCCTGGGCCGGAGGGGGGCTTCCTGGGAGGTGGATGGGGATGGGGAGGAGAAGCCGGGAGGGAGCCAGGCCCGCTCACCCCACTTCCTTAGCCAGGACGTGTGGGACCCCAGCTCACCCGTCTGGCTTGGATGGCAGGGCTGGGCACTTGCTGGCCGCGGGCGGTAAGGGGTTAAGGGCCCAGAGGGGACGAGGGGAGTGGGCTGGACTCTGAGGTGCAGCTCCCCGGCCTGAAGCCGCACCCGGAATGCAATGCAGGGAAGAG